GGGGGGCGGAGGGTTATCCAATGCTCTGTTAGTGCTCATTGACCCCAGACAAAGGTTACAGCCCGTTCTGCTCCATTTCAGACTTTTGTGGGATTAAGAAATAAGGCACCAGCTCAAGCCTCATAAGTCATCCTTGATATGAGAGTAAAGGGCTGGTTGCAAGAATGTGGAGACTTCCGTGCTCTTGCCACCCACAGCTAGTAGCATTAACAACCAACCCAAGGGTTATCAGAAAACACAAACAATTTCGCACCCACACAGAGAGTCAAGTCCCACCCATCTGGCTCTAGGGATTTCCCCAGGGAAAGTTCCCTTCTCCTGTCCATACTTTCTCCTTACACCCACACAGAGCAAATATTGATTCCCTGAGATGGTGACAGCCATCTAACCTGAACTCCTACGTGTTCAGCCCCTAAGCTTGGCTGCCCACCCCACTTCTATTATTTCCACCACACATGGCCCTTTTATTGTCTGACAGCCCACATACTATTTCCCTTTAGAGCCCACTCAGAGCACATTCTTTCCTTCAAAGAATCCTGGGTGCTGTGGTTTGTTAAGAGTTGCTGGGAACAAGAACTATGCCAGGGGCAAACTACCATGCCCAGAATTCTTTGTGGTGGGAAACGTGCTTTGAATGTGCTTTAAAGGTATAGTAAGGGATGCGGGTGACGCTGTGGGTTAAACCACAGAGCCTAGGACTTGCTGATCAGAAGGTCGGTGGTTCGAATCCCTGCGACGGGGTGAACTCCCATTGTTTGGTCCCAGCTCCTGCCAACCTAGCAATTCGAAAGCACGTCAAAGTGTAAGTAGATAAATAGGCGGGAAGGTAAATGGCGTTTCCGTGCTCTACTCTGGTTCGCCAGAAGTGGCTTAGTCATGCTGGCCACATGATCCGGAAGCTGTACACCGGCTCCCTCGGCCAATAAAGCGAGATGAACGCTGCAACCCCAGAGTCGGTCACAACTGGACCTAATGGTCAGGGGTTCCTTTACCTTTAAGTATGCACCCTTATTTTCCTTACGGGGTGGAGAGAATGCACAGAGGTCAGAAGTCTGTCAGAAGTCAAGTCTCTCCTTGTGACATAACCTCCTGACACCAAAGTCTTGTCCCTTAGTCCCCCCGTAAGCCCCCAGTGAGAGGCAGCTGCTTGTGGTTATATTAAGATGAGCATAGGAGCCAATTCCTAGGGGCCGAGGGGTCTTCACCCCCCTCAATAAAATATTTGAGGGGGCTGCTCCCCCCAGTTGATGGTCATTGCCATTCAAATAGTGTGTGTGTGCCACATCATGTGATTGATTATGCAGGGCGGGGCTTACCTGGGTCGCCAACGTGATTTTCCCCAGAATCACGTCCCCTTCCCCCCCCTTTTTTTGGCTACACATGCAAAACTGAATGCCCACAAGTTAATTTGGCATAAATTGCGGGCTTACTGTATTTCAGTTTAATTTAGGCCATTGGAGCTCTGGTCTGCTCTAAGTAATAGAAAATATTCTATATTATTCAGGAGATTCCAGAATACCTGTCCTGTTGAGCATTTGCCAGAAGGGAGAATAGATGGCAACAGCTATTTCATGAGCATTCATTTGGATTTGTTTGCAGGGAGATTAGATGACGTTGCCTCAAAGCAAGTGTCACATCCCCCCACCTTTCAGTGCATTTCCCCATCCTTTCCCTTATCACAAAAAGTCTGATTTTGGAAAAGGTGGGAGCAGTGGCGTAGCGTGGGTTGTCAGCACCCGGGGTAAGGCAAGTAATTTGCGCCCCCTAACCTGTGGATTTGCGCCCCCTAAGAAGAAGAAGAGTTTGGATTTGATATCCCGCCTTTCACTCCCTTTAAGGAGTCTCAAAGCGGCTAACATTCTCCTTTCCCTTCCTCCCCCACAACAAACACTCTGTGAGGTGAGTGAGGCTGAGAGACTTCAAGGAAGTATGACTGGCCCAAGGTCACCCAGCAGCTGCATGTGGAGGAGCAGAGACGCGAACCCGGTTCCCCAGATTAGCAGACTACCGCTCTTAACCACTACACCACACTAACCCATGTATTTGCGCACCCTAACCCCCAGATGTTGCGCCCGGTGCGGCTGGGCCCCCCTGCACCCCCATGCTACGCCACTGGGTGGGAGTGCTGTTGTGCAGAACCTCCCCATCAACGATAACTGTGCAACCTGGATTTGCCCGTTTGTGGCTGAATCCCACCCCAAAATAGGGAGTGTGGAAACACGCCCTGAGTGTATTAAGAAGAGCATCTTTCCCAGAGATCATGAGAATTTGAGAATTCCACTCTCTTCTGTGCTGGACAGCCCAAAGAACTCTGGCTGGCTTACTTAGTGACTGAGACGAAGAAGAGCAATAGGAACATTTGCAAGATTTTCCCTCTTCACCCTGCTGCTAAGACTTGCAAATAAATCCTGTCATGTTTGGCTTGTTTCCTTTCCTATTTTTGCGCCACAAATTTTAATGTGATTTTGATGCTATGTTTTCAACAATTTGTGATTGCATTAAAAAAAAAAAATGCCATCGGCCCTGGATCTGGCAGTGGTCACATTTTGTGAAGGCTGTTGCTGCCCAATGGAAATTAGCAGACGTGTTCAGTCAACAGTTATCTAGGACAGAGCAAGGGAAGGTCCAAAAGATCTTCATATATCATCCTTTTGAACAGCAACAGCAACAAAGAATAGAGAGGTCTTTCACAAGGTTATTCTTGCAAAAGATCACAAGACCTCTGCTTTTTAAATTTTGCATGGAGGTGTAATTGCCCTTGTTGTTGTTGTTCAGTCATTTAGTCGTGTCCGACTCTTCGTGACCCCATGGACCAGAGCACGCCAGGCACTCCTGTCTTCCACTGCCTCCCGCAGTTTAGTCAAACTCATGCTGGTAGCTTCAAGAACACTGTCCAACCATCTCGTCCTCTGTCGTCCCCTTCTCCCTGTGCCCTCCATCTTTCCCAGCATCAGTGTCTTCTCCAGGGAGTCTTCTCTTCTCATGAGGTGGCCAAAGTATTGGAGCCTCAGCTTCAGGATCTGTCCTTCCAGTGAGCACTCAGGGCTGATTTCCTTCAGAATGGACATGTTTGATCTTCTTGCAGTCCATGGGACTCTCAAAGGTCTCCTCCAGCACCATAATTCAAAAGCAAGGCAGTGATCCATGAAGGGGGTAATTGCCCTATCAGGAGATAATTCTAGAAAGGACCCCCCCCATCGCCAGCCATTTCCCCATAGAAGGGAAAGTTGGAGTTGGAGACTACCAGGGTCTACGGCTTGGCTGAGTTCCAAGGGCCAGCCGAAAGAACAAACATGACTGTGGCAAGCAGTCTCTGACTTGCACTTGTCCCATGCCTAGATAGCACGGGGCTGAGCAGTTTCCCCGCTTGCCCCATGTTTCATCTGGCACGGGTATGAGCGGCTATGCCCTTGCTGCTGCCCCCCCCTCCGATCCCTGACCCTGTCTTGTTTAGATTCAGCTTTTCTGCACCCTCTGCACCCTGGGGTCCATCCATGCATGAGGGGGCCAGACCCACGTTGAACGCTGCACTCTGCCAGCAACACCAGCCCCCTTCCTCCCCCCTCCTGCTCCCCCTTTGCCACCATCTCTCCCTCCCAACTCCTTGGCCACAACTTTCTCCCAGATTCCTCAACCTCCCAGATGCTTTTCCTAACCCCAGACCCCCACAGGGACCCTGTGGTGAGGCCAGAAAGAGGGAGGGGGCCCCACAGCTTTGCAACATGGCCCACTGTTGACCTTGAGGGGGGGAACTGTGTCTTGAGTTTGGTCACTTTCTCTCGCTTCTTAGAAAAGGCTCAGATCCAGACATGGGAAGTACCCAGGGTCAGGGAAGGTCTTGGAGAAGGCGATGGGGAACCGTCCCCAGGTGACCCTTAAGTGGGCTGTGTGTGGTATGCCAGTACCCCACATCTCAAGCCCCTCGTGTCAGGACCGGGAATATCTCTTGCCAGGAACCCTGAAAGGCTGCTTCTGCCATGTAAACCACATATTTTCAGACCCCTGGGCCCATTTTTAACCCAAAACATGCATTTGGGGGACCCATTTCTTAATTTCCCCCTCCCTCCATATATTTTCATGGCGGCAGTGCTCCTGTTTGGACCTGCCTTGGGCCAGGCCACAACCCACCGATTCAAGACCAGTGGAAGCTGGGTATGCCAACGGTCTCTGGTGCAGAGGAAGACGGAGATTCCTGTGTCCCTAAAGGGCTTGTGTGGGGAATCATAGGGCAGGAGGTAGGGGGATTTTAGTGGTTTTGAAGAAGCAATTTAATTAATGGACTCTAGGAAATAGGAAGTGGCAGATCATTGGGTATGGCTAAGAGGGAAGAGCGTGTGTGTGTTTTTTGTGACAAGAACAATGGAGTTATAGGACTCCTGAGATTTGCGAGAGCAGAACATTTGGAACCTGTGGGAAGGGGAAATGCCTGAGAGGTGGTGTTGTGTGTGGTCTAGTGTTGTCTAGGTGGTGTCTAGTGTTGTGTGTGTGTGTTTATGAGTTTGTGGGAAATTCCCTTATTGTGTGTGTTTATGAGTTTGTGGGAAATTCCCTTATTCTGAATAGGATTCCTCACAAGAAAAGGGAAAAGTTGACAGCTTTGTAGATGCCAAATCCTAAATCCCTGGATCCGGCAAGTTTTAAAATATAAGCCAGGTTAGCTTCCTGATGAGGTACAGTAATCGCTTGAGTAATGGGCCATCAAGAGAACAAAGGGGGCTCTGTGCTAGATACTAAATGGGTCCTCTCTCAACTTGCAGGTAGTAAGAAGAACAAAAGACAGTTTTCTAGCAGAACTTGGCAGGGATGTGACTTAGAAGCAAAGCTGAAAGCAGAGGGCCAATGCTTGCTTTCTATTTGAATCCAAGGCTGCTTGAAGAATCCAAGGGAGAAACAAGACCCATATATATCTTTAGGGTATATGGTAAATAATCCATATACCCTAAAGACACCACAGGCTCCTCTGTGCCTCATTCCCAAAAGGAAACATAAACAATATGTATGCGTGAATAGCTCAGTCGGTAGAGCATGAGATTGTAGATCTCGAGGTTGTGGGTTCGAGCCCCACGTTGGGCAAAAGATTTCTGTATGCTCAGCGCTAACCCTCGCCCTTTCCGAGATCGCACGAGCCGCTCTCCTTCTGGCCGATTGCTGGGACACGTGGAGAGGCGGAACCGAGCCCGGAGCGCGGCTTGGGCTCGTGGCTGCGGAGCCCCGGGGGCGGGCGAGTGGGGGCGTCCCGACGTGCGGGGAAATATCTCTCCCCCCACCGCGAATATTTGGGGACGGGGGAGCGAGGAGGGGCGTCACCCCGGACCAAGCCCTCCCCCTTCGGAAAGACTTTCACTTTCGCCTAAACAAAACCCAGGCAGCCCTGTACTCGGGCAACTGCTTTCTCGTGGGGTTCGCGAGCATGTGAGAAGCCCGAACGACGCTGGGGAGAAACCCCCCCCCTTCCTCCGCCCTCCCTCTAAACCTCGATCGGTCATAGGTAAGTTAGGGCGTTATGGGAAATACAGGAAGCTAGCTCCCCTCTTCGACCGGTTAGGAGAAGGGTCGGCACTGACTGGCAGAGGCTCTCCGGATGTTTTCCCGATCCCTTGCGCCTTACCTGGGCCAGATGTCAGGATTCGATCCCGTGGCGCCAGCAGTCAGGGCAAGGGGATCGACGCAGGGGGGAAATCGAGAGGGGGGGGACCTGCCACTTCCAACCTTGGCTTCCGCCCTTGCGGAGGGAGCCCCCAAGCGCCAAGATCGCGGAGGCTTCATAGAATCACAGAATTCTACAGCGGGAAGGGACCTCTAGGGTCATCTAGTCCAACCCCCTGCAGCGAAGTAATATTTTGCCCAATGTGGGGCTCGAACCCGCGGCCCTGAGGTGAAGAGTCTTACGCTCTGCCGACTGAGCTCCTTGTGGTTCTTTCTCAGCTTCACGATGATTTATGGATTTATATCCCGCCCTTGTATCAAGGAGGTACCTATATATGTGTTTTTGGGGGGCAGAGCGAAGGGCCTCCGATGGGGCAGGGCTTGAAGGTAAAGGAGCCAGTGGGGAGACACCCCTGCCTGAAATCCTGGAGGGCTGCTGCCGGTCAGTGTAGGCACCATTGTGGTCGATGGGGATAGTGGACCTGGCAGCATGTTCTGAAAGGGATAGTGAAAAGTGACAGGTGAAATTAAGAAGTTGCCTCTGCTCCCCACTTGAAGAGTCGTGGAGAATCTCGGGGACCATAGTTTGCTCAGAGGGCTGGGAATTGTCCGACCTGTGAGGTCAGCACCCTTAGCAAACTACAGTTCCCAGAATCTTTCCGGAGGAGCCCTGAGTGTGCTCTAAATGCACAGTGTGGATGGGACCCATCTCTGGAAGTGGACGGCTTCTGCGGCTTGTTTCCGACTGATGTGGAACTGACTCCCTCAGGAGGTTGTAGAGGTTTCTAAGCAGAGGCTGAATGGCCATCCGTCAGGGATGCTGTAGCTGAGATTCCTGCATTGCAGGGGGTTGGAGTGGATGACCCTTGGGGTCCCTTCCAACAGAACAATTCTATGATAAAGCCTTTCCCAGCACTACCTGGAAATACCAGGGGCTGAACCCGGGACCTCCTGCATGCCAGTCAGGTGCTCTCCCACTGAGCCACAACTCCTCCCCGTGTGCTCAAGCCAGGCTGCTGCTTTTATTGGCTCTCTCCAGTTGCTTATTCAATAGAGAGGTGCAGAAGCAGCCTGGACAGTTTTGCACCCTGCCGCTCTCCCATCCGCACACAAAACCACCCTGCCAATTGAAGCAGCGCCTCTGCACTGTCTCGGGGTCTAGCCTATGGCATCTTTGCCATGCGGTCCTGGTCCAGCTTTGTTGCTGCTCGGCAGCGATCAGAGGGTCGGCAGTAGCATGCCAGATTCGCACAGGCGGCCCTGAAGCTTGAGTTGGTTGTAACTGAAGATGTCAGGGAATCACATGCATATCAGAACACGCCCTCTGCCACCAGCTGACTTCTCAAAACGTGCTTTCTCTAAACCAAATGCGTGCAAGCGGAGAAAAAGCCAGGAATGATCCATGCCTCTTGAGAAAGTGGATGGAATCCCCCCCCCTTATAACACTGGAACTTTTGGACATTCAACGAAGATGACCGGGTCGGGCGGGGTTGGACTAGATGACTCTTGGAGTCCCTTCCAACTCTGTGATTCTGTGTAGGAAGATCCAGGACAGATGAAAGGAAGTACGTCTTCATGCAGGAGAGAGGAAAATGTGGGCGGAATGGAATGGAGTATCCTGGAAGTGAGCATGGCTGACTAGAATCTAGAAGAAGCCCAGGGCCCCTCCAGATGTGTTGTGGGTTGTGTACTTGCGATAGTATCAGCAATTGGTTATATTCAGTCTCGCTTTCCATACAGCTTGTATCTGCAATGGTTTTGGTACTGCTTTGTTTCCTATTAGTGCATGTCCTAGAGTCTAGGACAGGGTCAGCAAACTTTTTCAGCAGGGGGCCGGTCCACTGTCCCTCAGACCTTGGGGGGGGGGCCGGACTATATTTTTTTGGGGGGTGGGGGAATGAACAAATTCCTATGCCCCACAAATAACCCAGAGATGCATTTTAAATAAAAGGATACATTCTACTCATGTAAAAACACGCTGTTTCCCGGACCGTCCACGGGCCGGATTTAGAAGGCGATTGGGCCAGCTCCGGCCCCCAGACTTTAGTTTGCCTACCCATGGTCTAGGTCGGACATGCACTAATTCAGGCATAGGCAACCTCGTCCCTCCAGATGTTTTGGGACTACAACTCCCATCATCCCAGACCACTGGTCCTGTTAGCTAGGGATGATGGGAGTTGTAGTCCCAAAACATCTGGAGGGACGAGGTTGCCTATGCCTGTCTTAGAGCTTCCTGCTGAAATCCTGCAACTTTTCTGACTTCTCCTTCATTGGAGGTTTTGAAACAGAGGCTGGATGGCTCTTTAGCTGTGATTCCTGCATTGCAAGATGACCCTCGTGGTCTCTTCCAGCTCTGTAATTCTGCAGTTCTATGAAACGTTCTGGTTTTGTTTTGGCGGCCCCACTTTTGTTGCATCATGGTGCAAGAATGTCTCTCCAGATGGCAGTAACGGGGGAAGCAATTGCAGAATGAAGCAGAATGCATTGTGATTGCATACCTGGGCAATTTATGTGGCATTTGTTTCAGTTTGTGTGCTTTTTGATGCCTTTCATTTATTGATTATTACTTTTGTTATGCTTGCAGTTATGTGAATTTTGTTATGTTATAAGCTGCCTTGCGCATGGTTTTAACTACGAAATAAGATGATGATGATGATGATGTTGATGATGAAACCCACAGGGAAATGGCAGGGAAATGCACTGGGGAGGGCGAGATGAAGTTTGTTTTGACACATCCTCCAGCCTCTCCACAAACAAATCAGAATGGATGTTCATTAAATAGCCCATGTTGTCTGATCTCCCTGTGAACAAACCCAGATGAATGTTCGACAAACAGGTTATCTGGAGACTCCCAATGGCATGTTGCAGAATATACCTTGTTATATACCTCACTCATACTGAAAGATTTGGTTGCAGGTGTCATTTGTTGTATGGTCCAGCTATTGGGTTGGGAGCCTGTTACGAATAATACTGGATCCTGACCAGTCGTATCCTGGAATCCTGGGAACTGAACATTCTTGGAATTGTAGCGCTCTGGGGGGTAAACTGCAGTTCCCAAGATTCTTGGGTGGGAGCCTTGTGCTTTACATGTATGGTGTGTTCACGGCAGGGGCGCCGACTTGCCTCCCACATTGAGGGGGTGGAGTCATGTGACGTGTCACATGATGCCGCTGGCATTCAAAAGCAGACACGCTTGTCCCAGCCACCGCCTGGCTCCTGGGCTGCCGGGCAGAGGTTGGGGCTGGGGCACACTGAGGGCTCCCGGCAGTGGCAGGGGGTAGTGGCCCCCTCAATATTAGGGGGCACCGTGCCCTGCCAAAAAATATTGGGGGAGCTGAAGCCCCCTTCACCCCATATACCTGGCGTCGCTGGTTCACAGACTTGCAGAATGGAGGGCAGAACACTTGCATGCCATGTAAACAGCTAGGACCTGCAATAAAATGTTGTGGTTTGGGGCCATCTCGCCCAATTTTCCGTTCCCCCTCCGTTTTCAGTTCATCCTTCCCCCAGCAGTCAGTCAGCATTCTGTAGTCACTGAGCGTGCTTAATCCTGGGGTGCCTTGGGTTTCTCCCCCTCTTACAGTTTAATTTCCTCAAGTATTTTTTTGTAGTTCTGCATACCTGGGGATTCCCCTAACACATTCCTCTTGCTTCTTGCGGCTTTGACCACATAAGCAATGGCACTCATGCATGCATAAGAAATAGAAGAAATTTGATACACCTATATTTTTTCCATTAGGTTGGCTATGCACCACATCCTTCCCCTAGGGAGCTTAGAGCAGTCTAGATAGAGGTGGTGGTTGTTATTCCATTTTATCCTCCTAACGACCCTGTGAGGTGGGCTAGCCTGAGCTAATTGTTGTGGGAGCTCCATGGATGCGTGAGGACTTGGAACCCCAGGAAGTTCAGTACCCTGATTCCTGCTACACAACACAGGTTTTCTAGTCATCTGGCTACTTAAAATATAGCAGAGTGGTGAATTATCCTTCCCCATTCTTTTCAGTGCATGGATATGGGTGAAATATTCACTGTCATCTTAATATTTCTGACTATTCAACTGGAATAGTAATCCATTCAGACGGATGGATGGCTGGTCATTGTACTATCAATGTGAGCTAATGGGATTTCCCCACTTTCCTTCCTCTGCTTTTCTTTATCTAATGTTTTATAAACAATTCATTTAAAAAGAATAAGCTAGTCTCATGCAAAAAGGTAAAACCTAAATCCGCTGCCCCCAGGGCTATCAGTGGGTCTTACGTGGAAGATGGGATCAGTACAGTGGTACCTTGGTTCTCAAACGCCTTGGTACTCAAACAACTTGGAACCCATATACTGCAAACCTGGAAGTAAGTGTTCCCGTTTGCAAACCTTTTTCGGAAGCCGAACATGCTCCGTTTTGAGTGTTACTCTTCCGATTTGAGTGCTAC